TTAAGCTAATTAAAATGAATTTAAACACCTTAAATCCTCTACTTTTCTACTATCCTATATAAATCTTGACGGATATTTTGGAGCATATTTGGACAGGCAAATTTGTTAACAGTTAGTCGGATAGGTTAGTCAATGACAAGTAAATTTTCTGCTGTTATGTGAGTACAAAGCCTCTTTGGGGAACAGTGGCTGGGGTAGTATATATGGACTTGACACCTCAAATGCATTTTTGTTGCGTCCCGAGACTCCCTGAAGACGATAGAAGACGAAATACTCGGGCAGAATATATATTTAGCGCAGAGAAGGTGTCAGGGCTATTCGCATGGCTTAAAATGACAGCCCACCCAGCGAAATACAAGAGGGCTAATTCAAAGTGTAAAAGTGGCGCCTCACCAATGCTGAGGGGTAAACCACTGTTGTACTACATTTTAATTTGTAAAGACCTAGTTTAAGCCGGAAAAAATATGTATATATCTCTACTAGGTTTAGCTTTGCTTTTTGGCTCTATGGTCACAGGTCTAGCCATCTAACTCCTTTATACCATGGCATTGAGTCTTCTTCCAATTTCTTTCGCCAAATCCCTCTTCTGCAAAGACCTGCAAACTCACAAGTGTAGTGCCTTAGATATATTAATATCTGCGTATGTAATAAATAGAATAGCCTTATAATTTTATTGTTTGCATTGAAATATGTATCCTTTAAGGATGGGCTCACGCTGGCTGCAATGGTATTTGACATTAAAACATCCTGCCTTCGCCACACTTGTAAACATTGGACCTTCTTTGAGTTTGATTTGGGTTTTTTAGCTATTGCATACAAGTGTAATGCTCTGGATATTTGTTTAACACGAAGTTCTGTTTACGCAGCTACCCAAGAGTAATAGGATGAGATCTATTTGCTGTACGGGCCAATTTTATGATCCTAAATGTAAAGTTATACGTTGGTGATTAAACTCTTAGTTTCTGCAAAAGGGATGCTTAGGTGTTCAAACTTTTTGCCTGCCTCAGACGGGCTGGCCTCCGGGCAATTACAGTTGCCCCTGGTCTACTGTGTGCCAAATATATTCATTCTTCCTGTAAATTATGTCTTTTAACGTCTCCCGAGTAGTCTTGTAATCCTTAAAGATGGCATTAAAATAGCGGTGATGTAATCTGAAGACGGAATGTTAAGATGAAGTTGAATGGTTTGATAAATGTTTTGAAATTTTAAAATTTTTGCAATGTCATAACTGCTTTTTTAAATCTCTTGACACAATAGTGGTGTATTTTTATCTTATTACTATTTTAATTGTGCTGGCGTTTATCTACTTATAATTACAAAGTTTGTTCTCCCTCATAAGCATTTTAAATGCATAAACAAATTTTTTAACACCGCTGCCTTTTTTAAGGCAAGATAATTTCTTTAGTATTTTTGAATCACGATATTCTTGTAATTGTTCATTCTGGTAGCATTGTTTGAGTTAACAGCACCCCAGCCCATTCCTTCCGAAATAAGTAATGTCCGACCTCGTCTTGGATGCTGTTCAGGAGGGCGAAAATGATGAGTTCGTTGATGAGTCTTTGAAGGAGGATATGGTACGTCTCTTTATATCCTCATGTTTTTAGGAAATTGAGCGAATAAAAGACCGTCTTAAAGAGGTCGAAGAAGATGCGAATAAGTTGCACAACCTGACTAATGCAGACAAGTCTTCGAGTAGTACCGTTCTTATTTAAGTTTTCAACACATCCTTCTAGAAAATAATTTGTCTACTTTGTCTGGGGAAGAGAAAGCCGAAGTTGACTTGCGCTCTATCTATGTTGGGAACGTTGATTATGGGTCCACTGCGGATGAACTTGAAGCACATTTTCGCTGTTGTGGAGCCATTAACCGTGTCACGATTCTCTGTGATCGTTACACTGGTCACCCGAAAGGATTTGCTTATATCGAGTTTGAAAATGCGGATGCTATCGAGGCTGCGGTCGCTTTGGATGATTCATGCTTCAGGGGTCGTCCGATCAAAGTGATGCCCAAAAGGACGAATATCCCCGGACTCTCGACGACAACCCGTGGGTTTAGGCGACCCCGTCGTCGTTACAATTCTTATGGTCTTCGTCATGCATTTGGTATGGCCCGACCGAGGACTTCGAGATTTAGGTACGTTTACCATGGCAAGTAATGCATTGTTTGTTTGTTAGTGCCTTTTTATTCTATTGTCTATTAAATTTGTAGGCGACGTCGTATTTATTACGGTGCACCATATTGATTGTTCGAAAAAAAGAAAGAAAAAAGAAAAGATACGCGCAGCAATGACTACGTTTCCCTTGGTTCTAATGTGTGTGTCTTCAAATCATTTTAGCCTTGGCTTCTCTCTTCGAGGCAGTACCCTTGGCAATCAGCTCCCTCCCATTTTCACCGTTGTAGATTGTACTAGGAGATGTGAACATCTTCAGTTTGTGTGCGAACCAAGCATTTGTATCATTGACCGTTTACCTGTGCTATCAATATGTACTGTATTCGCACCTTTTGTAATGAATTTCTTTTCTACAAGTGATCCTCCTTTAAATCTAGGCTCATCCCCCCGTTGAATTATCTCCATGGTATCGTTGTCTTCGTGCCCATTCATGAACCTAGGCCTCATTCGTTGCATAATGCGTGCACATCATAAGTGATGGTTCCCTGAGTTCACGTTTCTCTATCTAGTCCTCTCGCAGAAGCTAGACGTTGGCGACCTACCTTGGATCCACGTTACGAGCCGCGTGATTACCTGATGCTGGCTATTCGTGTGTAGTGCTCAATTGTAGTAATGCTAACGGAGTAGGTGAACCTCTTGGGGTGCGGTTTGAACACGTTCCTGTCCCGGTTCGCGTTCCTGTTTGTTACGTTGGTGGCGTGCTACCTCAATTTAGTATGATGGCGCTGGACGATCACTGGATCAAGGCATTTCTGGGTCGTTTTACAGCAAAGCACTGGCCTGGTTGATCTCAACAGAAGTTAGGGATGATTTGATGAGCTGGAACCTTTGAGTAGTCTGCTATAACTCTACCAAGGGCAAGAAGACAGTCAGTGCCTAAAATCTGCACATGGTTGATTCCACCCAGTCTGTCGCGCACGTGCATGTATGCGTGTATACTTATGTATGCATGCACTTTTATATGTATGGCAAGGAATATGATACTGAAATAGGCATTTCATCACACGCGAGGGGAAGGGAATGCAATCACATCTCAGAGGGCGGTGTACAGTGTTAGATGGGTGAGGGACTTGAGCAAATCAACACGTTGCCATTTTCAGTCCTTTCGCCAGCGGCAGCAGTGGCGCTGGCTGCCTGTCTTCGAGCCTCCAGGCGACGTCGTTTTGCCCGACGGTGTTGTAGCTGTCGGACTATCGCCGGCAGCATCACCAAACCAGCTAGAAGCACGCCCGCGCCACAAACGGTGAAGGCAACTGTGTAGGACTCGGTTGCGTCAATTATAAATCCTGTGCCATACAAGTAAAACATGGGGTCACTTAAATCATTTAAGTAAATGGTATTTCTAGCACAAGAAAGTGCAATTTCAACTGCACCAATGAGGAAAAACGCGAAAGCATTCATCTTCCACCGTTAAAAAACCACTATTTTGCAGTGGTGCCCTGTAACAAAAAAAATGCAGAAGAAAAAAAATGAATCGAGATGGAGTGTACTCCCACCGAATACTAAAACTCATGGTCGATCAGAGGTAATTAACATTACAATTTCAAAGAAATTCAACGATACAAACACGGTTTTGTAATTATGTTCCCCGTATAACATAGAAATGACATAAGCCATGTCAAATTGCAGTCCACATACTTTAGGCTGTTGAATGAACAAGAATGCTCAAGGTGGAGCAAGCGCCCCTGATGCGATCTAATGCAACAGGAATAAAAATGCCACAGGCATTTGACGCCCATTTCAGTCTCAATTATAAAGCAGAAAAATGCTCACTGGTTTTGCAGAAAATTGTCACAGTAGAAAAAAATATGTGCGACCAAACTACCATTTGTGTTGGGATGATTGGCAGGAGGGCGGTATAAAAGGTGGCTAAACTGCAAGAACCGACAGTCCCAGTCCCAGTGGGCTGAGTGTGGATTCCAAGTAGCAAAAAGGGGGTATATTAACTCGTAATTAATCAAGCCAAAATTGGGCGGTATCAGCTGACAGAAATGTTCCTGATTTCAAATTTGGAGCGTTTTAGAGTTTGACTGAACCCCCTCTCCCAAATCACTCACGAAGAAGGTGTAAATTTTGACCCATTTCTTGCGAAAAATTCTGCTAGTTTTTAGTGGAGACAGCGCGTTTAAGCTGGTAAATTGGTCAAAAATGATATGGACCTGCGAAAGCCTTAAACACGTATGTGCGGAAAGCAGTTTAGCAGCTTCTATCTTAAGCATACGGCCAGTTGGCGAAACCTCAACTATAGCAGAGGGCCGAGAGGGCGTAGGCGAAGCGTCTGTACAAACGATGAGGAAAAAATTCCGATGACTTGACACTAGGAAACTGCTAGCTTTTGCAATGATAGCTAACTTTATGGTGGTTTAAAAAAGCTTAGTTTCTTGTCAAGCGCAAGTAGCGATAGTCAAGCACAAGCCATCTTAAAAAAATTGAAAATAAGTTGACTGGAAATCTTGAGAAAACCGATGAGCAAAAGCAGCAGTATTTTTTAATTTTAGCATGACAAGTTTGAGAGCTTTTGAATGTTGTATTAGGAAAAGTAGTAGTAAAGTTATCTGGTCTGATGTTGGGTCGGAAGAAGTTAATTAGACATACCGACACATGAAAAAAATTCGCTTTTGGTAGGAATGTTTCTGGTCTCCTATCTCTACCGTTTCACGCTTCTAGGGCGGGATTGCAGCAGCCTGGATGAAATTACTTCTCTGTGGGCTCATCGGTACCTCCCGGTCGCCAGACACGAAATAGACAGTCTAACTGTCACGTTTTGGGGACTCAGATCGACCCCAGAGTTGGGCTATCTCTAGGATCAACATTTAGAGCCCTAATCAAACCAATCTCTTTGAACGCCTTCAGAGATAGTCTTGCATGATGGAGCTAGATTTTCAACAACCGGTTAACTGGAGAAAGTACAATGGATGCGGACTGTGACAGTGATGACTAGGAGACTGGTGCTTAAATAATCCGGGTTCCTTATATCCGAGTAAATGATGAGTGTGTTGGTCGTCCGGCCAGGCGATCAAATTAAACCCAGATTTCAAATTTTAAGTACTAAAAAGGCACACCACCGAGGCGGCGTTGCAAACAGTTTTAACCCCCCAGATATCGACAACCGATGCACACATTGTGTGCCAGTCTGGTTCAAATGTCGGAGAGGTAGCAGTTAGTTCAAGCATAGAACAGGGTTCGGTGCTGAGCGACCTTTTGAACATCGTTAGCTCCTTATTACAAGCAATTTTCACGTTGTCTTTGTTGAGGTGGTCTCAGTAGCAGACATCTGCAAAAATAACGACGGCGTTCTAGGGCCAAACAAACGTTTGAGTAGATACCCTCAAGCCAAAGTGACGTGAGTCAATTTCTAACCCGATCACAACAAAACCGTACTGAACACCTGTGTGCTCTTGGAGCTGCATGATCAGTACAAAAACTCCAGTACCAAGGAGACGAGAAAAAGGCGATAAATTGAGGAAACGCGATTTAAGGGAACCGCTTTATGGACGCAAAGGAAATTCTTACTTAAGCAAAACTTCGGATCTATACCATTGTTGTTTTTAACAGGGACATAATAGAGAGGACGTTCTTCGCTTTATAGGAACGTAGAATCCTGTTATGATTCAGTATGGAGCATAATGTGGGTAGATGGATAGTAGCGTAATGTTATGCATAATTGAAAAACAATTCCACAGTGCTTTGTATAAGCGCACCACACCGATTATTTGTCCAACTCTCGGCTTTGGTGGCGGGCCACTGAGAGGCTCTGCCATTCTACCTCGGCGGAGGGTTTAGCTTCTCGGTCATACCAGTAACTCCCAAGGCTTTCGGTACGTCGACAATACATATTCCACCCGAGTATTATGTCTTCTTTCGTCTTCAGGGAAGTCTTGGGGCACTACCTATGATTAAAAGCTCTCATGGTAGTGAAGAACTCGCGGTAATTCACACTCCTCCCGCTAATTCAAAACGCTGAAATGTCCAAGTCTTCAGGAAATATCATATTCACATTAACAAATAGCATCGCGAGAACACACAAGGAGCACTATTTTGAAATGAAACGTTGCTTTTTGTAAAGGACAAAAAGTACCAGTAGAGCAAATAGTCGATTTAAGTAGACCCAAATAGAACCGTTAGCAGAGGACGGGGATAAAATCTCCAATTTCTGACATTAAAAACAACGAAGAAGCTTGTCATTGAAGAGCCGTATAGATTCACTTGAGTGACATCATGCCGAGGTCAGGTTAAACTACTTAAAAGTGCAATTTCCGATTCAACAAATGCAGTAGGAAGTACTGAAAGCATATTTTCTTACCAGATGAAAAAGAGAGCGAAGTGCAGTTTTTAAATAAAAGGGAATGATGAGAGAAATGGGAGATGGGTGAGCGCAGACCCAACAGACATCTGTCAAATAGAACTAGGGGAAATGAAATCGAAATACTCGTTGTTCGAATTGAAGTAATTCCAGTTTCTGTATTAGGCAATCCAGCCAACTCCCGACCGAAAGCGAATCTAGGCGTCATCATAGACTTTGACGAGTCAACTAAACACGTATAAAGTTGAGAGGAGAAAATGAGTTTTGCTAACTTTTCCAACAAACTTGTCTTCAGAATTATCACGCAACTGAAAAATTTCTCCTTTAAGTACCACTCATTTCTGGCTTCAGCTTATATGCAATGCAGCTCCTTTTTTAGTATTTGGCGATAGAGGTCGCCCCCGGGAAATTTTTATGACTTGGGAACGGCATTGCAGCCATCGATCCTGAATGAGAAGCGCATTCATCTCGGAGCTATGCTAGCTTGCCCGAAAGGGGATAAAAAACACTCCTACGGTTATACAATTGAATTGAGCAAATGATGTCAGGCTAACCTGATTCGGCCACCTTTTTTAATTTCATGCTTGCGCACTTCATTTTGGGGCCATTCATTCGTGCATTTGTGCAATAAGCACCGACTTATGCCATCGTCACAAAGGCAATTCAGTGTTTACGACAGTGACGCGCCGCCAGCGTCACGTCGCAACAGTGGAGTGAATGCTCGACCACCAAAAACACCAACTTACCGATGACCGGGGGGCCGAAAATGGACGCGACGCCCTGACAGAAGAGGCAGAAACCGAGACCACTAACAAGACGACTCAGGCCAAGGAACTCAATGATGACGATTGTGCATAACGAGTCATTGGCCGCCATAGTGAAACCGAAGACCACTGTAACCAAAGAGAGCCGTGGTTATGCACAATGCAATCCATACTACGACTAGTCTTCCAGCCCTCCTGTACCCCAATAATAAGGCTGTTTTCAGGCTTGCAGGCTACATTTATGCAGCGTGCTGGAATTTGTTCCGCACCTTTTGCTGCTTACGAAAGTTGAGACGCAAAACTGAAGTTAAAATCGAATGTCTTCTTTTTGTGATTAACAGTGGATAAAAAAAATTATGGAAAATAAAGAGGATGGAGACCAGATAGACAGATTTTATCTTGTTTAGTAAGCATACAGATTGCTCATTCTCCCACAAACCGTTTCCCATTCCTAAGCTACTAACAATTCGGCCTTCCTGGGCGATTGTAATGATGCTGCTGCCAGACCTATTTGCTCGGGTTAACTCTAGCACTACACCACGAAACCCCACTTCAGCGCATAAAAGTGGCGTGTGAAATGGGTTTCACAGGTGATAACGCTTCCGCTAGAAGTGGAAAATAAGACGTAACACTTTAGATTTTAACGCCGTGATTAACGATGCACAGTTACGGCTTCAAATTGGCTCTAAACGGTCATCGTCAAGAAAATTTGTGTAGACCGAAGAGTTCCTTATTTCATGGATGAAGGGAACGCGTTTGAAAGTAGAGTACAGTCATGAGTAGTTCAAATAAGTATCAATGACTAGGCTAGACTGGTAATCTTTTAGCAACAATCATGCTATCCTGACAGTTAGTCACCTTAGTGAATGTAAAAGCTGATTCGGCAGCATTCACTTTCTGAAGCACAGCAACCGTGAAATTTCCCCTTTCGCGTATCAGATCAAAAGTACTTCCACCGTTCCTTAGGTTCTGATTGCTGTCCAACACATTACCCTAAAAAAATCATTACTTAGAATCAGACAAAGACAAGGATAGGCACCAAGGCAGACAGTCTTATTCCCATACATGAATAAAGAGCCAACTTTGAGCTCCTGACATAAATAATCCGTAAGGAAGCATAAAAACGCTATTTCCTCATTTTAAGGCGTGTTTGCATCGATGTGGTCCCTGCTACATTGGACTAGAAGGCAGAAATGGACGACAAAAGGAGGAATTAGTCACATGTTGCTTTGCCGCAAACGCTCACAGGTAACCCCATTTGCCCCAAAATGTTAAAGTACTAAAATCATTTATCTGATAAATATCCAGTAAATTGAAATAAGTCAAGACTATGAAAGAAGTTTCCATAAAATTAACAAAAAGGTGCTTTCACATGTATGCGGGAAGTAATGAACAATTACTTGTTCTAATTTCATTGCTTTACTAGAAAGAATGTGGAGCGTTAGCCTGTTTAAAAGGCAAGAATTTGCCAACAGTTCAATAGCTAGAGATGTAAGATGATAAAGACTGATAGTGGAGGTGGCATTCAACCCCCTATTTAATCTAAGAACTTTGGATATTTAGTACCCAATGACCCAAACCAGAAATCCTTAGAAGCATAGAGGGAGAAAATTGAGAGAAAAAACGTGAAATTGACGATACTTTGAGGGCTGTCTAGAGGTAACACTTGCAACTGACACACTAAACTAGTGCATTCGTGGTAGCGTCTTGATTGGTATCAATGCATAAAGTGGGCTATTTAACAGCTGCGAAGATGTACTTCATCGTCACGTGGCCGAGAAGGCATTCAAAGGGATGTACTGTGCAAAGCATAATTGAAATACCAGAGAGGCGATTAAACTTATCCAAACAAAACAGACATCAGTAACCCGTGATTCGGCCACAAATTCAACATCCTGAAAAGCAAGGTAGGATAAACCAGAACTCGCGCAGATGTACTTAGCCCTGAAACTACATTTCGAAGTAAACGCCATCGAAGGCATTTAATGGTACCTTGATACGACAACATCGTCGCGATTACGTGGGTTGTGCTGAAAATGTGCTTCTGAAAACCAAACCGGACTTCAATCTGTCATGAAGTTGGTAATCTTAGAGGGTGGATGCAAGCCTTTTATTTCACCCAAATAGCTTACAGAGGTGCAGAGAGTTGAAACGCTAATTCCAACTTTCCACATAGGGCACATCTGATCTCGATTCAGGTGCAAAATATTGTCAAAAAAGGAGGAGGAATTTCCTACAAACAAAGCAGAGCAGTAGAGAAAACGGGAGTAATAAAAAGCACGTCAGGTGAAGGACAGATCAAGCGATCACAACTACTTGTTGTCGGAGAAAGGGTCGTTGATCAAAGCGATTTCAAATCCGAAAATTCCCATCCCTGTAGTTGACATATTCAAGCATGCCGTAGCGGGTAGGTACTAACGAGCCTTAAAATGATAAAGGTAATAAAAGCTCCCCTTTACCTTAAACGGATTTAAGAAATTACAATAAATCGCAATGTAACACCATTTTTTCCACTTTATCATAAACTAGTAGGCTTAACACATTTTCTAACTTGGAAGGCACCGATTTTAAAATGCCTTTTTAAAGAATCACAGTGCATTTTTAAAGAGCGAAACAACCGAATTTTCATTTCCGTCAATACGCTACTCAAGATTAGTAGTGTATGTGCAAAAGTCAGATGGACAATGGTATTGCAATGACTGTATCTTTCTCAATTCGACCCCACATTATTTACGCAGGGTTCAAACAGTAACATTTCTATTTTGCAGTTTTCTCATGAACACCCAAATTCAAGCGGTTAATTGCAGAATCAAACGAAGCATGTATAAATGAACCAGACCACTAAAAAGGGTTCTTTAATTGTACTGCTAACAGTCTGTTTAGCGCTGCTATGCAGAAAGCAGGTGGATACTAGTTATTATTAGTTATTAAACTACCCACGGTTCTCCGTACATGGTTCCACTTTCTTCTAATCAAAAGGCGGACCTCAGACTACTTTGCACTGTTTAGACTATTTGCGACTATTTGTTCTAATGTTGGCGATTCAGAACCCAGACCTCTTGACCTTAAGGCAGTGGAAGCTAAGTGCTTAAAATCAAGACGTTTACAGTGGCGAAGATGTGTCAGCCAGACAACTTGATGATATGCTACAAGTGGTGGTATTTTTTGAAACCTCAGCAAGGAGTACGGTTTTGCATCCGTAATAGTTAAATATTTGTTTCATATCTTTAAAAATACCAGCCTTTCGACTTAATATATTGTAAGCACGATGACATGACCTTTTAATGTTTGTAGGTTAACTCGGAAACTGCTAAACTATGTATGTACCTCATCTAGAGTAATAAACAATAGCACAAAACGCTTACTGGATGCAAGTGAATTTTCATTAATGGGCGGAAACACGTAGCGCTCCATTTCGGGTTCATGAGATAAAAAAACATTACAAACATCAAAGGGAAAGTGTTTACCATTTCTGAACAATTTGCGATAATAAGTAAAAAATTGTTTAAATACCGTGCAATGTGAAATGGGAAATTCAGGAAGTGGATGGATGCATCTTTACCTTAAAAGGTGTCCGTAAACATATCTTGGCAACGCAGAGCCAGTGATCAAAGGGAGGATCAAGGTGTAGGCAATTTCTGTCGTGCAATTCAAATATGCGAAGTTGTAGCGATAGGGTTGCTGGGATTAGCAGCAGTGCGGCAGGTGCGCTTACAGCGGTGTAACACTACCCACATCCTGATCTGGCGTGTTCCCTGCCAAAGCAGCTCAACATCGCACATGGTCGGCATCTCTGCATTTGCCAATGGTTGATTTGTTAAATGAAAAATAAATAGTTCCTGTCTGCGAGTATCAATATGCAGGCTTGCAATCAGTAGGCTGGGGCACCTTTTTTCATCCGACATGGAATATGCTATCAAAGACCAAGGCGTGGCAGAGAGATGAAGAGGAAAGATAACTATAAAAAGCGAATGCTCTTATGATAAGAAAGTGGTTCGAAGGAATTTCCAGTGCTGCATTACTGCACCATTCTTTAACAGATACCCGACAAAAGATTAAGTGACAGAGTGTGGTATTCGGCGTTCATGAATACTTCAAGAGGGTCATTCAGTACGGAGCTCAAATAATTGCGCTTCATCTACCGGTCCGGACAATATACCAATTTCCTCAAAACTAATGAGAAATATGGACAAACAATATGGTATAGGCCCCATTTCTGCAGCGAAAACTTGAGTTTACCTTTAATTTGGTTAATTCTTAGCACTTCCGCACAATCAAATCTATTCTAATTGCAATAGAAGAAAAGATAGGAATACTTTGTACCCCATTTTACACTAGTTTCGAAAATCCGAAAGAGAGCATACCAAGTGAGAGCGTAGTAGACCCAGATATACCTAAAGAACGATGGGAATGGTTTCATTTGTTGAGCCCCGGTATTGTGTCTGAGCAAGCAATGAGTTTTGGGGAAAAAATCCAGTTCCTCACAGTCGGTCTCCACAGAAACAGTTACTCTATGAATACTTTTAAAAAATCATTTTCGATCACTCTAAAAGAGGGGATTGTTGAATCCTCTCTAGGATTCACACACCAAGCATACAAGATGAGGCATTTGTGTTTGAGAAAAGGAAGGAAGTGATGCCAACACCGTTTGACATGTCACTGTACTTTCATTTCATCAGATCGACATCAGCTGCTAATAGCACTAAAATAGTTTCTTGTTTCATCTATCCCCAAAAATGCCTTTCGTAGAAATACCTACCAAGCACTGTAAGGCGAAAAGAAGTTCCTACTATTTTTCAGCTGCAGTTCAGTCGCGGTGCTAATGTAGACAGTGCAGACTGTTCAAAGTAAACGAACAGTTGGAGAGAATTCCTATCAGGCAGTGGGTTTTAATTCAGCAAACAAGTTATGAGAAATATTGAGATGAACCGAGGCCATGGCGATGGATGCCAATGCCACACATGAACTCGTGGCTAAGAGACGCGGCACAGATTAGCTGAGTGGACTTTATTAGCACGCACTAGACGTACAGTAGGAGAGAGGTCGTCTCCAAGTCGCACCCCATTTGTTACTGTGGTGCAAAAGAATTTGTAAACATATTGACGTAAACATTGAATAGAACTATGAGAACCCAGTCTTTATCAGACCAACAAACCGAAAACGAATGCCGTAAGTACCTTGATAGAATAAACAGCCAATTTCTGCTTCACATTCATCCTTAGAACAACGAAAAGGAGCGAATTTTCCAGTAAATTTTTTGACCGTTCGCTATCAGTGCCACAAATGTGACGCCTCAATTTTCTCATTTGAGTTATCTGTTGTACTCCTAGTCCAGGAGCGCATATGCCAATTTGTAACGCTACCCACTTCATTTATGTAGAATGTTAAGATTCATGAAAAAATGAACGACAATTACAGTGGAACAGTAAAACAACTGTGCTGCGGTGTTGCCTTCTTTAAGATCCTGGTAGATAGCGTGCTGCGAAATAGATCATTTTTACTGCTAACTGATTTGACAATTTACTGTGGTAAGCCTAGAGAAGAAAGTGACTGACTACCCGTTTCAAACGGAAATATACAGAGAAGGGAGTGGAGTATTATTTTTTTGTACCAATCACTGCGCTCTCAGAGCGGAAATAACTTGGAGTAAATAGTTTTACCAACCATAAACTAGGGACGGACCTCCATGGAACATAGTAAATGTGCAGAGCGACTTCTCACTAATCGAATACGGCTATTAACTATGTCATGAGCTCCTAAATAATCTCGGAAACCATTCTAATATTGCTGTTGGTAAACACTTCGCAAGTTCGTGCAGACGTGATGCATTGTAAAGTCGTATCGAGGCCATTTCTGTGTATATGAGGATAAAATTATAGCTTCCAAACGGGGACTAGTTAAATTAATATGGGGCAGCATTACTTCAATTTTTTTCTATAAATATGGGATTCCATTAGATTTGCAACTTAAAGTCACCGCACATATTCATTACCAGCGTCACATATACGCGACATGTCCTTTATTAAATTATGATGGGTATGGCCATACCAATTCATTTTGCAAACAAGTCGGCTCTCCTTAAAATAGTAAAACAAATACAGAACTTTGTTATTCTGATGACAAATACACCTCTTTCCGCTTCTACGTGAGCATCGGTTGAATTGGTCAATTCCGTAGTGTAAATGCTACTGCTAGATGGTGGTGATAGGGTTTCCTCCAAGACCTCAGTAGCAAACACGTTAAACATCATTATTAAATCAAACCACTAATACATTTACTTTTACTGAGGACGCATGTATAAAGAGAAAAGCAGCCTCTACAACTACTTCATAAGTTTGTAATCTCATTCAATTGATCACATGGAGCAGGACCAGGGTAAGGACAAATGAATTTGACGCAGAATCGACCTCCACCTAGTCGGAACAATGCAAAAGGTCATGACAACAAACATGATCAAAATGTTGATCTCCATGATGTTACCGTGACACTTTTGACGTGATCACTGGCGTGGGTAGTAGAAACGTGCCAGACTTCTTCACTACAGTTGAAAATAAACTTTGGAAACTGCACTAGCTGTTTGAAAGGTTACCACGACAAATGGTGGGAAATAGAGCTGCTGGGATAGCAGAGATCCGGTACAAACTAGGCGAAAATCCACATTTCTTATCAGTCAATACTTTGAAGGACCAATTTTTTCCCTACTTTCAGTAGAATGGAAGAAGAATTGGGAAACGCTGAGAAGCAAAATCGCTAAAAATGAAGAGAATATACAAAGTCACTAGAAGCATTAACCTGAGCGTTGAAGATGAAAATCCTTTTTAATTAAACTACCAAAAATCCACATTTTGAATAGCTTTTTAGAGACGAAACTCCCCCAAAATAGGCATAAATTGTCAGATTAGCTAGTATAAAGGGTATAGGTTCTTGTATTTCGGGCAGAAATCAAAGAAAGGGGTATAGTCTAACGAAATTGCTACGGAATTGTAGTGGCAAGTACTGTTTGGTGGAGGAGAGTTCGTCATACCTTGGCCCCTTATTGTCTTTAATGGAATCGGAAGAGCAATTTGGATTATACATTGACTGAAATGGGTGGTTTACTTGACAATACAGATTGATAAACTTCAAGTTATGTGTTTGTGACAGCGAAAACAACTAGTTTGGCACATAGACAAAAAATAGGTAAATGGAATATATCAACTGATAAGTTGAGTCAGCAAAACACTTCAAAAATCTTATTCCACCATCAAGAAGCGCTATGTTAGCGTCTAGATGTATTTCAGCCCAATTATGAATAGGCCAAAACGGATGCAGCCAAACAAGGTTTGGGCAAAGTAGAATGCAGTGTAAGAGACAATGGATGAAGCAGCATTAAATTATAATTAATGTATAATGAAAGAGGATTGCGATAACTTCAGTCGTGTACGCGACTACATCCAGGTCACCTGTACCATTATCTTTTCAGTCCTTCTGCGCGCTTATAAGTAGAGCTGCTTCTTGCCTTCAGAAGTGATTCAGGTGCTAAGGTGATGGCAGGGCGATGAGCTATGGGCAACACCTTTTACCCATGAGAATAATACAACAGCAGTCCGGCTGAGTTGATTTGTCGATTTGTGCGTGGAAAAAAAATGAAAATGAATGTGCCGGGATTTGAACGGAAAAACCATTAAATATGCATCGCTTTTTGATACTCTAATTTCAAATTCCGTAGCATGAGAAATAGTAGTTATAAAAACAAGAAGCACTTCTTTAAAACCAATTTTTAAGATCATCAGCTTGATTGCGTGTTGTAAGAAACTGATAACAATACAAATTAACGACTGACACCACTGCAAGAGCACCAAACTAAAGCTGAGAAATAAAAGTGGGGTGTAGTACTAAAAAAGCAATTTTATACATCATGCTGCATTCGAGATTTTGGCACCTGAGGAATACTTATAAAACTAGTTATTGATACCCGAAATATTCTCGAAGCAGAACCCAAATTCACCCAAAACAAGGCAATAACATGATGAAATCTACAACAAGGCGCGACGGGTAGAGCATCGAAAAGTATGAGATGCACAACCACTATGGAATTTAAAGGTCCTCTAACTACCTTTTCTGTAGTCATAGTGCTGAGAACGACGCCTAAATTAAAGCGATGAAAATTCAACCAAACGATAGCTGTTTTAAATATGTCCATAATTATGCATCTTATTTCAGTCTCCTAGCGTGTAGCTTTATTTACTTGTAATTGAGTCCTCTCCAGACTCTTATGCCTTAAAACACCCTCAGAGATAATTCGAGCATTAAATTAAGTTAAATGAAAACCCCAACTAACAACAACACCGGTAAAACAAAAATCAAGTTTGAATAGAAGGATGGCAGAACTCACAGTTGTAGACGACAAGAGCGCCGAATGAAGTTGCCACAGGAACAAGCATTGTTGCGATACCACAAACGACTACACCGGAGGTGTATAAATGGAGGATGTTCGACCATTCTTGATCCGCAGCCCAACCATACACCACCTCACCCACCATGTCTGAGCCCCCCATGATGGCCAACAGCATCGCAGCCAAGCGATTGGAGATGCCCACTTGCGAGTTCGCATAAATAGTGATGAAGAAGTAGGTCACGTTGCACCAGAAGAAAAGACCCAGTGTAGAGAGGAGAAAAAGATTAAAAGAAAAACTCCAGAATATAGAAGGGTCCACTGCATTACGCAACTGGCGGTAAAAATATCGGCGAATGAAATGCAGATGCTGTCGAACACGGGCCACTGGGCCAGAAGAGGCGGAAGATGAGGAGAGAAGGGATGGTGTTGAACCCAGCAAATCTGGCATACTGAAGGTGGGTCGAATGTGTTTTTGCGTGGTGGACTGAAATGCAGCTGATCGGTGATAAACTGATCGTTTGGTTCGCCCGTAGACGGGTGGAATAAGTGAGAGGGCATTTCGAATGCTTGTTGCAGCTGATAGTACAGGCGGATGTTGATGTGCGTTTGATAAATTCTCCTTCGATTCAGTGATGTCTGAAAATGAGAGTCTCGGTTGGGTAATTTTTTGCATCTCTTTGCCATCCTCAACTTTAATGTTATCCTTTAAACAGGAATCGACAGTGATCAACAAAGAGCCCATTGATAAATCTGACGTAGAATCCGAGGAACTGTGACGTTGTGGACTGATAAGAAGTCTCCGTAAAAGATGGATGCGACGATCGACATTTTCATCCTCACTCTTGAGATACACCTCCGGCAGCTTGAATCCCGACTCCTTAGCAAAGTTCTCCATTCTTAGAAGAAGCTGACGTTTCCTTCGCTGACGCCCAGTCTCCAAGGGTCGCATCAGGCACCCAAACACCACAATGTGAGTAAAGATTCCTGAGAGAACGAGAATCGCTCCACGCCAGGTGTAGATAGTAATGAGATAATTGACAAGTGGAGCGAAAACAAATGAGCCTACTCCGGATCCAGCGATGGAAAGGCCAGTAGCTGTTGCACGCCGATCTTCAAAATACAATGAGACAATAATCAATGCAGCAGTGGAGGAAAGACTTGCTCCCAGTCCAACAAGAATACCAAAAGTGAGAACCAGGCCGAGCATAGACTCTACAAAGAATGCAAGGGCACAGCCTACGGCACTAATCAGCCCGCCAATCACGCAAACTTTGCGACACTGAAACTTATTAATGAGCATTGAAGCTACTGGAGCCGCTAGGCAGGGAATACCATAGCTGAAGGAACCAACCCAAGATGCAACACTCAAAGAAGCCCCGAATTCTTCAGTGAGGTCATCAAGAAAGATGCCGAAAGATGTCGCAACTCCGTCGTCAATCATTTGGATGAAAAAAGTGGCAATCACGATAACCCACCCCCATCCACCATCGGGTGGCTCTGGCGGCGAAAGTTCATCCTCAGACTGAGATGAAGAGTCGGTGGAAGATTCATCATCATCAGCTGCTGTGTCGCTGGAGTTGTCTGATGAAATCGAGGGACTAAAGCTTGAACTATTGTCAGATGAAGAGGATGAGGGGGAAGGACTGGCTTTACGAACGATATTCTGATAGTTTTCGAGGATTCCACCGCGTAGTTGGACCATACTATCAGAAACCGAAATGTTCTTCGATTTTTCAAGCGAGGAAATGACTGAATGGTCATCAGACACAAAATTCACATCTGGTCCACTTTTTTGCATAGGCCCCAGTTTCCCGTGCTTTTTGGCCAATTTAAGGTCATGTTTACCAAAATGACACCGAACGTAATTTAAAAAGGAAAACTCAGAAGCCACATGATTCATATCCGTGTGTTGTTCAGCTAGAGTTATGTGCCGGTCGGCATTGTCATGACGATCATTTGTGGTGAGTAGCCGGCTGGATGGCCAAGTAGCATCATTATGATCTAGAGGAAAATTTACACTTCCATCTTCCCGTCTTGATTTTATTCGACCCACGACTATTGTAGATGAATGTGATTTGTTCATGAATGGACAAAGCCAAAGAGCAGATGCAAAAATAGCACAGTAAATTCAAACAAACACCAAACAAGCCATCTTGTTGATTGGATGACTTATAAGAGCTGCACCTAAGTAGCTCATATAAACACCCAGGACGCCAAAAATGTATCAAGTTTAAATTAGCACATGTAAGTTTATCAAACAAAAAATGAATAATATTAAAATATTGTCGTTGCCCAGGCGCAAAGTATTTTTGTGTAAGCCAAAATCAGCAAATATTTAAATAAGTTAGGGAAATAAAGGAATAAATAACAGTAATAAATGCAAAAATCTGCAAAAATCAAGGCTTTAATTATAATTCTTGTTGTTTTGATAGTTAGGATTAAAATTACTTGATTCTTACTTCTGCAGTGCTGATAAAAGGCAATACTCCCCCTCTAATCTGACCTACTTTACATGCTTGGATCAATAAGATTGGCTGGAGTATGATAGATAAGGAGGCCGTAAACCATTCAGCTTTACAGGGAACCAGATGTGTTCCCTCCATGAAAGTCAGTGACATTCACTCATCCACGTATGTGGTGTATTCAGTCAAGCATGGATAAAATCAGAAACGATGACTATGTACTAAGACATTCTATAGTTTGATTTGCATAAGAATCGGCTTGGTAAGCAGTTTTTTAAAAAGGTGTGACTCCCATAAATTTCATAAATTTGGACGGGTCTCGGGATATAAAAATGATGAAAATTATCCGGCACTGCTTATATATTAATATATGTTTTAATGTACATTAACCGTAATTCAAAGCCTTATACCGTTCCTATGTATATGCGATCCTAAAATTGTGAGAAACAGGGGCGAAGCATAAAGAGAAAAAAGTAAAAGGAAATTTTTTGAAAACGAAGAAGATAACAGGTTAGTGAAAAAAGAATTTATTTTATATTACGGTAATCTAAAGCGATAGAAGCCCAAATTAGAAATAAAAGAGTAAATAAAGAGAGAAAAAGAAAAAATCACAAGGGAGAAAAAAAGGCCGACACGCAAAAAAACACGGAATAAGAAAGGCGAAAAAATAATAAGAAAAAAACAGGTAAAAAAGGGCAAAAAAAGTGAAACAAAAGAAAAGGACCGCTTTACTAGAAAGAATGTGGAGCGTTAGCCTGTTTAAAAGGCAAGAATTTGCCAACAGTTCAATAGCTAGAGATGTAAGATGATAAAGACTGATAGTGGAGGTGGCATTCAACCCCCTATTTAATCTAAGAACTTTGGATATTTAGTACCCAATGACCCAAACCAGAAATCCTTAGAAGCATAGAGGGAGAAAATTGAGAGAAAAAACGTGAAATTGACGATACTTTGAGGGCTGTCTAGAGGTAACACTTGCAACTGACACACTAAACTAGTGCATTCGTGGTAGCGTCTTGATTGGTATCAATGCATAAAGTGGGCTATTTAACAGCTGCGAAGATGTACTTCATCGTCACGTGGCCGAGAAGGCATTCAAAGGGATGTACTGTGCAAAGCATAATTGAAATACCAGAGAGGCGATTAAACTTATCCAAACAAAACAGACATCAGTAACCCGTGATTCGGCCACAAATTCAACATCCTGAAAAGCAAGGTAGGATAAACCAGAACTCGCGCAGATGTACTTAGCCCTGAAACTACATTTCGAAGTAAACGCCATCGAAGGCATTTAATGGTACCTTGATACGACAACATCGTCGCGATTACGTGGGTTGTGCTGAAAATGTGCTTCTGAAAACCAAACCGGACTTCAATCTGTCATGAAGTTGGTAATCTTAGAGGGTGGATGCAAGCCTTTTATTTCACCCAAATAGCTTACAGAGGTGCAGAGAGTTGAAACGCTAATTCCAACTTTCCACATAGGGCACATCTGATCTCGATTCAGGTGCAAAATATTGTCAAAAAAGGAGGAGGAATTTCCTACAAACAAAGCAGAGCAGTAGAGAAAACGGGAGTAATAAAAAGCACGTCAGGTGAAGGACAGATCAAGCGATCACAACTACTTGTTGTCGGAGAAAGGGTCGTTGATCAAAGCGATTTCAAATCCGAAAATTCCCATCCCTGTAGTTGACATATTCAAGCATGCCGTAGCGGGTAGGTACTAACGAGCCTTAAAATGATAAAGGTAATAAAAGCTCCCCTTTACCTTAAACGGATTTAAGAAATTACAATAAATCGCAATGTAACACCATTTTTTCCACTTTATCATAAACTAGTAGGCTTAACACATTTTCTAACTTGGAAGGCACCGATTTTAAAATGCCTTTTTAAAGAATCACAGTGCATTTTTAAAGAGCGAAACAACCGAATTTTCATTTCCGTCAATACGCTACTCAAGATTAGTAGTGTATGTGCAAAAGTCAGATGGACAATGGTATTGCAATGACTGTATCTTTCTCAATTCGACCCCACATTATTTACGCAGGGTTCAAACAGTAACATTTCTATTTTGCAGTTTTCTCATGAACACCCAAATTCAAGCGGTTAATTGCAGAATCAAACGAAGCATGTATAAATGAACCAGACCACTAAAAAGGGTTCTTTAATTGTACTGCTAACAGTCTGTTTAGCGCTGCTATGCAGAAAGCAGGTGGATACTAGTTATTATTAGTTATTAAACTACCCACGGTTCTCCGTACATGGTTCCACTTTCTTCTAATCAAAAGGCGGACCTCAGACTACTTTGCACTGTTTAGACTATTTGCGACTATTTGTTCTAATGTTGGCGATTCAGAACCCAGACCTCTTGACCTTAAGGCAGTGGAAGCTAAGTGCTTAAAATCAAGACGTTTACAGTGGCGAAGATGTGTCAGCCAGACAACTTGATGATATGCTACAAGTGGTGGTATTTTTTGAAACCTCAGCAAGGAGTACGGTTTTGCATCCGTAATAGTTAAATATTTGTTTCATATCTTTAAAAATACCAGCCTTTCGACTTAATATATTGTAAGCACGATGACATGACCTTTTAATGTTTGTAGGTTAACTCGGAAACTGCTAAACTATGTATGTACCTCATCTAGAGTAATAAACAATAGCACAAAACGCTTACTGGATGCAAGTGAATTTTCATTAATGGGCGGAAACACGTAGCGCTCCATTTCGGGTTCATGAGATAAAAAAACATTACAAACATCAAAGGGAAAGTGTTTACCATTTCTGAACAATTTGCGATAATAAGTAAAAAATTGTTTAAATACCGTGCAATGTGAAATGGGAAATTCAGGAAGTGGATGGATGCATCTTTACCTTAAAAGGTGTCCGTAAACATATCTTGGCAACGCAGAGCCAGTGATCAAAGGGAGGATCAAGGTGTAGGCAATTTCTGTCGTGCAATTCAAATATGCGAAGTTGTAGCGATAGGGTTGCTGGGATTAGCAGCAGTGCGGCAGGTGCGCTTACAGCGGTGTAACACTACCCACATCCTGATCTGGCGTGTTCCCTGCCAAAGCAGCTCAACATCGCACATGGTCGGCATCTCTGCATTTGCCAATGGTTGATTTGTTAAATGAAAAATAAATAGTTCCTGTCTGCGAGTATCAATATGCAGGCTTGCAATCAGTAGGCTGGGGCACCTTTTTTCATCCGACATGGAATATGCTATCAAAGACCAAGGCGTGGCAGAGAGATGAAGAGGAAAGATAACTATAAAAAGCGAATGCTCTTATGATAAGAAAGTGGTTCGAAGGAATTTCCAGTGCTGCATTACTGCACCATTCTTTAACAGATACCCGACAAAAGATTAAGTGACAGAGTGTGGTATTCGGCGTTCATGAATACTTCAAGAGGGTCATTCAGTACGGAGCTCAAATAATTGCGCTTCATCTACCGGTCCGGACAATATACCAATTTCCTCAAAACTAATGAGAAATATGGACAAACAATATGGTATAGGCCCCATTTCTGCAGCGAAAACTTGAGTTTACCTTTAATTTGGTTAATTCTTAGCACTTCCGCACAATCAAATCTATTCTAATTGCAATAGAAGAAAAGATAGGAATACTTTGTACCCCATTTTACACTAGTTTCGAAAATCCGAAAGAGAGCATACCAAGTGAGAGCGTAGTAGACCCAGATATACCTAAAGAACGATGGGAATGGTTTCATTTGTTGAGCCCCGGTATTGTGTCTGAGCAAGCAATGAGTTTTGGGGAAAAAATCCAGTTCCTCACAGTCGGTCTCCACAGAAACAGTTACTCTATGAATACTTTTAAAAAATCATTTTCGATCACTCTAAAAGAGGGGATTGTTGAATCCTCTCTAGGATTCACACACCAAGCATACAAGATGAGGCATTTGTGTTTGAGAAAAGGAAGGAAGTGATGCCAACACCGTTTGACATGTCACTGTACTTTCATTTCATCAGATCGACATCAGCTGCTAATAGCACTAAAATAGTTTCTTGTTTCATCTATCCCCAAAAATGCCTTTCGTAGAAATACCTACCAAGCACTGTAAGGCGAAAAGAAGTTCCTACTATTTTTCAGCTGCAGTTCAGTCGCGGTGCTAATGTAGACAGTGCAGACTGTTCAAAGTAAACGAACAGTTGGAGAGAATTCCTATCAGGCAGTGGGTTTTAATTCAGCAAACAAGTTATGAGAAATATTGAGATGAACCGAGGCCATGGCGATGGATGCCAATGCCACACATGAACTCGTGGCTAAGAGACGCGGCACAGATTAGCTGAGTGGACTTTATTAGCACGCACTAGACGTACAGTAGGAGAGAGGTCGTCTCCAAGTCGCACCCCATTTGTTACTGTGGTGCAAAAGAATTTGTAAACATATTGACGTAAACATTGAATAGAACTATGAGAACCCAGTCTTTATCAGACCAACAAACCGAAAACGAATGCCGTAAGTACCTTGATAGAATAAACAGCCAATTTCTGCTTCACATTCATCCTTAGAACAACGAAAAGGAGCGAATTTTCCAGTAAATTTTTTGACCGTTCGCTATCAGTGCCACAAATGTGACGCCTCAATTTTCTCATTTGAGTTATCTGTTGTACTCCTAGTCCAGGAGCGCATATGCCAATTTGTAACGCTACCCACTTCATTTATGTAGAATGTTAAGATTCATGAAAAAATGAACGACAATTACAGTGGAACAGTAAAACAACTGTGCTGCGGTGTTGCCTTCTTTAAGATCCTGGTAGATAGCGTGCTGCGAAATAGATCATTTTTACTGCTAACTGATTTGACAATTTACTGTGGTAAGCCTAGAGAAGAAAGTGACTGACTACCCGTTTCAAACGGAAATATACAGAGAAGGGAGTGGAGTATTATTTTTTTGTACCAATCACTGCGCTCTCAGAGCGGAAATAACTTGGAGTAAATAGTTTTACCAACCATAAACTAGGGACGGACCTCCATGGAACATAGTAAATGTGCAGAGCGACTTCTCACTAATCGAATACGGCTATTAACTATGTCATGAGCTCCTAAATAATCTCGGAAACCATTCTAATATTGCTGTTGGTAAACACTTCGCAAGTTCGTGCAGACGTGATGCATTGTAAAGTCGTATCGAGGCCATTTCTGTGTATATGAGGATAAAATTATAGCTTCCAAACGGGGACTAGTTAAATTAATATGGGGCAGCATTACTTCAATTTTTTTCTATAAATATGGGATTCCATTAGATTTGCAACTTAAAGTCACCGCACATATTCATTACCAGCGTCACATATACGCGACATGTCCTTTATTAAATTATGATGGGTATGGCCATACCAATTCATTTTGCAAACAAGTCGGCTCTCCTTAAAATAGTAAAACAAATACAGAACTTTGTTATTCTGATGACAAATACACCTCTTTCCGCTTCTACGTGAGCATCGGTTGAATTGGTCAATTCCGTAGTGTAAATGCTACTGCTAGATGGTGGTGATAGGGTTTCCTCCAAGACCTCAGTAGCAAACACGTTAAACATCATTATTAAATCAAACCACTAATACATTTACTTTTACTGAGGACGCATGTATAAAGAGAAAAGCAGCCTCTACAACTACTTCATAAGTTTGTAATCTCATTCAATTGATCACATGGAGCAGGACCAGGGTAAGGACAAATGAATTTGACGCAGAATCGACCTCCACCTAGTCGGAACAATGCAAAAGGTCATGACAACAAACATGATCAAAATGTTGATCTCCATGATGTTACCGTGACACTTTTGACGTGATCACTGGCGTGGGTAGTAGAAACGTGCCAGACTTCTTCACTACAGTTGAAAATAAACTTTGGAAACTGCACTAGCTGTTTGAAAGGTTACCACGACAAATGGTGGGAAATAGAGCTGCTGGGATAGCAGAGATCCGGTACAAACTAGGCGAAAATCCACATTTCTTATCAGTCAATACTTTGAAGGACCAATTTTTTCCCTACTTTCAGTAGAATGGAAGAAGAATTGGGAAACGCTGAGAAGCAAAATCGCTAAAAATGAAGAGAATATACAAAGTCACTAGAAGCATTAACCTGAGCGTTGAAGATGAAAATCCTTTTTAATTAAACTACCAAAAATCCACATTTTGAATAGCTTTTTAGAGACGAAACTCCCCCAAAATAGGCATAAATTGTCAGATTAGCTAGTATAAAGGGTATAGGTTCTTGTATTTCGGGCAGAAATCAAAGAAAGGGGTATAGTCTAACGAAATTGCTACGGAATTGTAGTGGCAAGTACTGTTTGGTGGAGGAGAGTTCGTCATACCTTGGCCCCTTATTGTCTTTAATGGAATCGGAAGAGCAATTTGGATTATACATTGACTGAAATGGGTGGTTTACTTGACAATACAGATTGATAAACTTCAAGTTATGTGTTTGTGACAGCGAAAACAACTAGTTTGGCACATAGACAAAAAATAGGTAAATGGAATATATCAACTGATAAGTTGAGTCAGCAAAACACTTCAAAAATCTTATTCCACCATCAAGAAGCGCTATGTTAGCGTCTAGATGTATTTCAGCCCAATTATGAATAGGCCAAAACGGATGCAGCCAAACAAGGTTTGGGCAAAGTAGAATGCAGTGTAAGAGACAATGGATGAAGCAGCATTAAATTATAATTAATGTATAATGAAAGAGGATTGCGATAACTTCAGTCGTGTACGCGACTACATCCAGGTCACCTGTACCATTATCTTTTCAGTCCTTCTGCGCGCTTATAAGTAGAGCTGCTTCTTGCCTTCAGAAGTGATTCAGGTGCTAAGGTGATGGCAGGGCGATGAGCTATGGGCAACACCTTTTACCCATGAGAATAATACAACAGCAGTCCGGCTGAGTTGATTTGTCGATTTGTGCGTGGAAAAAAAATGAAAATGAATGTGCCGGGATTTGAACGGAAAAACCATTAAATATGCATCGCTTTTTGATACTCTAATTTCAAATTCCGTAGCATGAGAAATAGTAGTTATAAAAACAAGAAGCACTTCTTTAAAACCAATTTTTAAGATCATCAGCTTGATTGCGTGTTGTAAGAAACTGATAACAATACAAATTAACGACTGACACCACTGCAAGAGCACCAAACTAAAGCTGAGAAATAAAAGTGGGGTGTAGTACTAAAAAAGCAATTTTATACATCATGCTGCATTCGAGATTTTGGCACCTGAGGAATACTTATAAAACTAGTTATTGATACCCGAAATATTCTCGAAGCAGAACCCAAATTCACCCAAAACAAGGCAATAACATGATGAAATCTACAACAAGGCGCGACGGGTAGAGCATCGAAAAGTATGAGATGCACAACCACTATGGAATTTAAAGGTCCTCTAACTACCTTTTCTGTAGTCATAGTGCTGAGAACGACGCCTAAATTAAAGCGATGAAAATTCAACCAAACGATAGCTGTTTTAAATATGTCCATAATTATGCATCTTATTTCAGTCTCCTAGCGTGTAGCTTTATTTACTTGTAATTGAGTCCTCTCCAGACTCTTATGCCTTAAAACACCCTCAGAGATAATTCGAGCATTAAATTAAGTTAAATGAAAACCCCAACTAACAACAACACCGGTAAAACAAAAATCAAGTTTGAATAGAAGGATGGCAGAACTCACAGTTGTAGACGACAAGAGCGCCGAATGAAGTTGCCACAGGAACAAGCATTGTTGCGATACCACAAACGACTACACCGGAGGTGTATAAATGGAGGATGTTCGACCATTCTTGATCCGCAGCCCAACCATACACCACCTCACCCACCATGTCTGAGCCCCCCATGATGGCCAACAGCATCGCAGCCAAGCGATTGGAGATGCCCACTTGCGAGTTCGCATAAATAGTGATGAAGAAGTAGGTCACGTTGCACCAGAAGAAAAGACCCAGTGTAGAGAGGAGAAAAAGATTAAAAGAAAAACTCCAGAATATAGAAGGGTCCACTGCATTACGCAACTGGCGGTAAAAATATCGGCGAATGAAATGCAGATGCTGTCGAACACGGGCCACTGGGCCAGAAGAGGCGGAAGATGAGGAGAGAAGGGATGGTGTTGAACCCAGCAAATCTGGCATACTGAAGGTGGGTCGAATGTGTTTTTGCGTGGTGGACTGAAATGCAGCTGATCGGTGATAAACTGATCGTTTGGTTCGCCCGTAGACGGGTGGAATAAGTGAGAGGGCATTTCGAATGCTTGTTGCAGCTGATAGTACAGGCGGATGTTGATGTGCGTTTGATAAATTCTCCTTCGATTCAGTGATGTCTGAAAATGAGAGTCTCGGTTGGGTAATTTTTTGCATCTCTTTGCCATCCTCAACTTTAATGTTATCCTTTAAACAGGAATCGACAGTGATCAACAAAGAGCCCATTGATAAATCTGACGTAGAATCCGAGGAACTGTGACGTTGTGGACTGATAAGAAGTCTCCGTAAAAGATGGATGCGACGATCGACATTTTCATCCTCACTCTTGAGATACACCTCCGGCAGCTTGAATCCCGACTCCTTAGCAAAGTTCTCCATTCTTAGAAGAAGCTGACGTTTCCTTCGCTGACGCCCAGTCTCCAAGGGTCGCATCAGGCACCCAAACACCACAATGTGAGTAAAGATTCCTGAGAGAACGAGAATCGCTCCACGCCAGGTGTAGATAGTAATGAGATAATTGACAAGTGGAGCGAAAACAAATGAGCCTACTCCGGATCCAGCGATGGAAAGGCCAGTAGCTGTTGCACGCCGATCTTCAAAATACAATGAGACAATAATCAATGCAGCAGTGGAGGAAAGACTTGCTCCCAGTCCAACAAGAATACCAAAAGTGAGAACCAGGCCGAGCATAGACTCTACAAAGAATGCAAGGGCACAGCCTACGGCACTAATCAGCCCGCCAATCACGCAAACTTTGCGACACTGAAACTTATTAATGAGCATTGAAGCTACTGGAGCCGCTAGGCAGGGAATACCATAGCTGAAGGAACCAACCCAAGATGCAACACTCAAAGAAGCCCCGAATTCTTCAGTGAGGTCATCAAGAAAGATGCCGAAAGATGTCGCAACTCCGTCGTCAATCATTTGGATGAAAAAAGTGGCAATCACGATAACCCACCCCCATCCACCATCGGGTGGCTCTGGCGGCGAAAGTTCATCCTCAGACTGAGATGAAGAGTCGGTGGAAGATTCATCATCATCAGCTGCTGTGTCGCTGGAGTTGTCTGATGAAATCGAGGGACTAAAGCTTGAACTATTGTCAGATGAAGAGGATGAGGGGGAAGGACTGGCTTTACGAACGATATTCTGATAGTTTTCGAGGATTCCACCGCGTAGTTGGACCATACTATCAGAAACCGAAATGTTCTTCGATTTTTCAAGCGAGGAAATGACTGAATGGTCATCAGACACAAAATTCACATCTGGTCCACTTTTTTGCATAGGCCCCAGTTTCCCGTGCTTTTTGGCCAATTTAAGGTCATGTTTACCAAAATGACACCGAACGTAATTTAAAAAGGAAAACTCAGAAGCCACATGATTCATATCCGTGTGTTGTTCAGCTAGAGTTATGTGCCGGTCGGCATTGTCATGACGATCATTTGTGGTGAGTAGCCGGCTGGATGGCCAAGTAGCATCATTATGATCTAGAGGAAAATTTACACTTCCATCTTCCCGTCTTGATTTTATTCGACCCACGACTATTGTAGATGAATGTGATTTGTTCATGAATGGACAAAGCCAAAGAGCAGATGCAAAAATAGCACAGTAAATTCAAACAAACACCAAACAAGCCATCTTGTTGATTGGATGACTTATAAGAGCTGCACCTAAGTAGCTCATATAAACACCCAGGACGCCAAAAATGTATCAAGTTTAAATTAGCACATGTAAGTTTATCAAACAAAAAATGAATAATATTAAAATATTGTCGTTGCCCAGGCGCAAAGTATTTTTGTGTAAGCCAAAATCAGCAAATATTTAAATAAGTTAGGGAAATAAAGGAATAAATAACAGTAATAAATGCAAAAATCTGCAAAAATCAAGGCTTTAATTATAATTCTTGTTGTTTTGATAGTTAGGATTAAAATTACTTGATTCTTACTTCTGCAGTGCTGATAAAAGGCAATACTCCCCCTCTAATCTGACCTACTTTACATGCTTGGATCAATAAGATTGGCTGGAGTATGATAGATAAGGAGGCCGTAAACCATTCAGCTTTACAGGGAACCAGATGTGTTCCCTCCATGAAAGTCAGTGACATTCACTCATCCACGTATGTGGTGTATTCAGTCAAGCATGGATAAAATCAGAAACGATGACTATGTACTAAGACATTCTATAGTTTGATTTGCATAAGAATCGGCTTGGTAAGCAGTTTTTTAAAAAGGTGTGACTCCCATAAATTTCATAAATTTGGACGGGTCTCGGGATATAAAAATGATGAAAATTATCCGGCACTGCTTATATATTAATATATGTTTTAATGTACATTAACCGTAATTCAAAGCCTTATACCGTTCCTATGTATATGCGATCCTAAAATTGTGAGAAACAGGGGCGAAGCATAAAGAGAAAAAAGTAAAAGGAAATTTTTTGAAAACGAAGAAGATAACAGGTTAGTGAAAAAAGAATTTATTTTATATTACGGTAATCTAAAGCGATAGAAGCCCAAATTAGAAATAAAAGAGTAAATAAAGAGAGAAAAAGAAAAAATCACAAGGGAGAAAAAAAGGCCGACACGCAAAAAAACACGGAATAAGAAAGGCGAAAAAATAATAAGAAAAAAACAGGTAAAAAAGGGCAAAAAAAGTGAAACAAAAGAAAAGGACC